ACACTCCCTTTTGCTCTCTGTCTCCCTCTCTCCCACCATCACTGTTGATTTACAATAACAAATCACATCGGCCAAATGTTTTCCAAGAATTTTCCACAAATTTCCTTGAACTTCATCGGCCAACAAAAAAAAGAGACACACTGTCTGCTCTCCAGCGAGACTATGATGCTCTTCACGATGCCAACATGTCTGGGTACAAAACATGTCTTGCCTTGGAGATATGTAGCTAAAAATTTTCATATATCCCAAAAGAAACAAAAAAGGATCCATGCATATCAAATAACAACTTACCAGGCAGTACCAGAGCAGTAATTTGATCTTTAAAATGCATAAAATTGGATGAACAAATTTATTGTGTGGAAGGCAACAATATGGAGGAGAGAGTGCTGGGCGCAATAACAAATTTGAAAATATTAATAATTTCATACCACACACTCGTGTACATACTACACGAAAGAGGAGGCGCAGAGGGTCCTTGTAATTGGAGTAAAGCAACAAATTGTTACTAACTTCAGATTTTCAAGTAGTTGAGAATTGGAATCGGACTCGAATAAATAAATAGTATTCTAAATGACAGGCCAAGGGAGAAGATAGATATTCAGACGTCAGTCTGTCTGTATGTTCCGAGGCTCAGCATGTGTTGGAATTTGTATGTGAGTGTGCATGCGCGAGCGTTCAGTTTAGTACAAGTACTTTACTATGCTGTTACATGTGTTTTTTTTTGTTCTTTTCTTTCTGTAAAAGGATCCTTCAGGCTGGACAATTTCTAAATGTTTCATTTCCAGACAGTCTGGTGCCATACTGTCTAGTCTAGGCAAGACAGAGGTACAACAACAAATTTGAGGGGTTTGTGTGCCAGTGTGTCTATTTAACTGCGTGCATATGTGTGTAGTTTGTTTTAGTTGGGAAAACCACATCACCATGGGACTTCAAGTAATTATTAAAATTATAAATAATTGGGTTTCATTTTTTAAAAGAGGGCAACGTGTATAAAATTTCTATACAGCATGATTTAAAATGTTTGCAGAACAGGTTGGTTGGCTGTCGATTTTTTTATTAGATTTCAATGGAATTCTAAATTTCTCTTTTTTCTTATTAAAATGTCTTATTTAGCAGTAAATTGATTTACTTCTCTGTATTATGTGTGAATGCATGCATGCGTTACGTCCTCTGACATGGATGTTTGGATATCACATGAATATTAGAATTTTTAGTCAGTCTAAAATAGTGTAGCCACATAGTTGTAGTAGGCCTAATATCCTATCGCAAGGAAAATTTTCAAGTCCTCTCTCAATCGTAAATGCACCGATTCCAATAACCGTCCAATCTTCCAAATTAGCGAATGATCATTTTACAAGAATCACCAAAATAATAGCAATTCTCCTGTAGACTACATGCAGTGTAAAAATGTAAATAATATTAAAAGTTACATAGGTACTTATCTGAAATCAATGAAAACAAACATTTTTAAATTTTATTCTTAAATAAGAAACATTGTAAAAACATAATTTTTATACATTCAGCCTTAAGCCTAATTCACTTTGATACGACAACAAGTAAAGCGTCGATTTATACCCTCCAACATGAACTGGATATTCACAATACCTAAAATCGATCTAAAGAATAATAAGATAAGAAGAAATATTAAGGAAGGTGGGAATAGTTTCGATGGCTAAAGAAGGAAAGAAAAACCTATTACGTGCTAAGGTTGCACTTTCCTAACCACTTTAGGTTTCTAGTGATGTTGTGGATTAAAGCAGGTTCCATAGTTGAAAAGAAGCTTAGATACGGTGGAAAGTGAGCACCCACAAGTCTGTGCTGTCTGTAGGCCAGAACTGGACAGGGACACAGAGATTCTTAACTGTCTCCGTCTCCTCTTCGTCAGCACAGAGTCTGCAGTAATCAGTAACAACATGGTCCCAATTACTGGTAAAGGCCCTGCTATTGCAATGACCAGTAATATCTCCTGTCAGCTTTGCTCAGGTTCAACAGTAAGTTTGTTCTCTTGGTTGACAGAGTCGGCCAGATAGATCTGCACACATTGCACCTAGGTTTGTTGTGCCAGAGTTCATTGGCTCGTTCATCGAAGAACGCCTCAAAGTTCCGAAAAATATGACAGATTTCATTAAGCAATCGATTGCTAGATCTGTAGGTTGAGATCTTTGACTAGTTAATTCGTCTGCTTTTTCATTACCATTATGTCAGCTACCTTACAAATAGCGACGATTTCAGTTGCTATCCAGCTTGTAGGTAAGCTCAAAGTAGACGCCAGTATAAAAGCCAGACGGTCCAGAGGAGGGTCGCTACGGTTCCAGTCGTCTTTACCACGGATAACGACATCTATATCGTCAAATATCAGGACTGGTGACATGTAGTCGTCTAGTTTTACGCTTTGGTCCAATGACATACCTAGTTCGTTCAGAATACATCGATGCCCGTAGGTACAATTTCGCCATAGATTTTGTTCATACAGCCTTTGGGCACTACGCGCTGCCTGGCACTTAATGCTGAGACACAGAGGCCTTAAGTTCAGCATTGCGCTCAGAGCTGCTTGTGGGGTGCTTCTCGCGGCTCCAGTTATTAGAGGCGGTTCTTTGTACTTTGTCTAGTTTGCTGGATGTCGACTTGCGAGTTACAACTTTTTGAAAAACATTTGAATTTCATATGAAGGTAATGGTGTTCAGATTTCAGCGATCGATTGAACTTCATAATATACTTATCAAAACTAGATTAAATCGGAAGATAGGATCTACCGGTACCTGTTTCCAATACCACATCAAATCAAATCTATTTACTGTAAATGTCATTTATAGAGGTCCATCCCTCTATTATTTGCCCTAAACTTGTACTTCACTTCAATTCGACTGTAAAACATTTATCTGAATAAGTACAAACGTAGTTAAGTTCGGCCGGGCCAAATCGATGGACATGGTTAATTAACAATAACTTTATAAATGGAAATTTAATGCAAATTTAATATGCAATCCATCAAAGAGTGGGCCCATGGTAAAAAAAGAAAATAGCAGAGTAATTCTAGAGTTCAAATACAAAATGTTTCACTTACGGTTCAGAGATATGGACGTCTGACGTTCGGAAAATGTTTGTATTTATAATTTTCCATCTGTCCATAGGAGAAGATATTCTTAAATAACCGGCTAAAGTCGCCAATATGTATCCGAAATGCTGTTGATCGCAAGGCTGATGTTTACCTTAATCGTTCCATAAAAAACAATCTTTTGATCATATGGATTTTCGGAACTTCAGAAACCGATATCTCCTATAAGTCATATATTTTCATGATCCAGAGTTTAAGACCTACCTGTGATACAATTTTCAACAAAAAAATCGGAGATTTCTTAAGCCTCAAAACTTTCCTTCTTTCTGAGTATTTTGTTGCTTTTAGTCCACAATAGTTCCCCAACCCACAAAACTGATAAAACATTAAATCAAATTTAAGAGAGCACAAAACTAAATGGCGTTCTTTTTGTAAACTTTTTACTCGAGAAATTTGGCCGAGTAAAAATGGTAAACAGGAATGCCTACCTCTGATTGGCTGTTATGTTGATTTTGAAGTATTGCCATCTAATTTTAGCATATTTACTAGATTTACATTCCCGAACTTTTCAAATTATTTTGTACTCTGAGAGCAATTTTGAAATGTTTCCCTTTTACTAGATTTACTATTAAAAAAGTACTGGAACAGACCAAATATTTTATTAAGATAATCCAAATAAATAATCGAACATATTTCCATTAAAGTCTGGAATATTGATTTGATATTTGTTTTTTTTTCAACTGAATCTATGTGTATGAGCGCCGTTTTTATAACGCGCCAAAATGATCTGTGTAATAACGCTCTGACGAATTTTATTTTTCAACGGCATCCATCTCTTCTATGTCTTCTTTCTATACAAAAGCCTTAACAGTTATGCTTCACACTCATTCGTAAACAACTGAAGTTGGTTGGTACTTTGTTGTCATTTAATTTTTTATCCAATATTCTCCTTTACCTTCAATTATTAATATTATTAATAGCATGTGGAACGTTTTGTATTTCGGCCGGTTTAAAGGATAGCATTCATCCAACTTCTCTGTCGTACTGAATTTAAAATATCCCTCGGACGATTACGAGAGTAAAAGTCGACTTTTAGACTTTTCGATGTTTGAATTTGATCGAAATCGATTTTGGACTTTTACCGACTAATGTAAAAACGACTCAATGTAAATACGACTTCTTCTTTATCGGGTGGAACGTTTTACTTTTAATGTTTCTGTTGAGCAAGCCTAATGGCTTCATTTGTTTTGATTCGCCGATTCGTCCGATTTTCGACCTATATACACTAATAATAATCTTTGTTTGTTTTGATTCTGGCTTTTATCAGTTACGTTTTAAAGCTATTTCGTCGAATTCCACAACGCCGTCAAAACATTAAGAAGCGGCATTGTAATTAAAGGTAATTGGTAATTAGAAGTACACTTAAGTCTGTTTTTACACGGTAGATAGGTTCTAGAAGAAGTCGTGTAAAAAAAACCGTGTAAAAAAGACATTGATCTTATACATAAAGGGAATTCCCCTAAATTAGTGCTATTCACATTTGCTTTGACCAGCAAAAATTGTTTGTACGCGCTAAAGGGGAATTCACTTAAATCTTTAAGCTAGTGTTCGCAAACTATCGATAAACTTTATCGATGGTTTCAGATTTAAATACTTTTTTGTGATATGAACATACTTCGCAAAAATTAAATTTGACAAAAAAAATTTAAGTACATAAAATTTCAAATCGTGCTAAATGGAATAAAATTGTCTAAAAAAAATTAGAAATATTCAATTTTCAAACCGTGTTATATCAAAACCGTGTACAAAAAGACCGTGTAAAAACAGACTTAGGTGTAATTGGTTTGGAAATTCAAAAAAATAATATCCTATCCTCAGACAAATATGCCAAAATATTATTCCGATTATTTTGAAACGTATTTAACATATTAAATCCAGAATCTCAATGTCGGCTCAAGATGAACGTAATGACATTATATTGGAGTGTATACCAACGCTGGTGAAACTACTAACAGGATTCGAGGTGAGTACCTAAGGGTCTTCTCCATTTGCTATTAAATTCCTACCATTCTTCGCATAACACCCCCTTAGGACGATGACGTTAATACCGAACATTGTATCCATTTTGCATGGAATATAATAAGGAATCATCGAAACCTCAGCACAAACAGTCATGATGTTCGGCGTAAAATCGAAGGCATACAGGAACGATTTCATGTTGAAAATTGTTCCGAATATGCCGACTACTTAGGACGTTTGTGTGATGAAGTTGTACGGCATCCCTTATGTGTTGATCACTATGAAGTGGATGTCCATTGGTCTTTGTTGGATTTCCTCTTTGAATTGGCCTATAATCCCACAGTTGCCTTGAAGAAGAACAAACATAAAATTGAAATAAAACCAGCAGTGTCGGAAGAAGTTGAAAGTGTTAAAGACAATGAGAAAGCCTATTGGTTGAATAAGCTGAAAGAAGATTTTATACCAGTTCCTACATATGATACCAGTGAATCGGATTTAAGTGTAAGTGGGGGTGTTTGTTTTTGTGTGGAAATATTCCTTTATATAATTGATTTACAATTTTAGGATTGGAGTGATGATGATGAGGAGGATATTACCGTAAATACCACAGCAGATGCCACAGCTGCCATTGAAAACTTATCAATTGCAGAACAAAAGCCTCCAGTATATATAGCTCCATCAGTTGTCCATGAACTGAGACCACCACAAAAGTCCTTGCCTTATAAGATATTTGATTCATCAGATGCTGAGAAAAAGCTTGATGAAAAAATACAACATTCGTGGTGGAACATAGCAAAGGGAGAACATCACAATGCCATTATAGAAAGTAATCATCCCCTGTCCAACTTTGCATTGGACTATAGCCGTTTTCTAAGTGATACTTCTAATAATCTGATACGCTTTGAAGAGCCTAACACCATTGCCGAACAACATGTTTTACGTGAAATCTTATGGACATTTCAGAGACCAACAAATTCCGCTGTTTTCATGCTGGATGCAAATAAGCAGTTAAGCTTAAGGCCAAATGTCACAATACCAAGTTGTGGAGTGGTAAGGGGAGGAGCAACATTGATTTAAGGAAAATAAACCTTTTAATATGTTTCTCCTTTAGAATGCCTTTCAGACCTATCTGGAGAATCAATATTTGCCCTATCTTAAAATGATGAATGTCTTGAGGCAATTCCACAAGGCAATTTATTGCTGTGAAGATCGTTTACCACCACGCACCCTGGAGTGTTATGCCGCCAATTTACATTTGCATTTGAAACCGGTATGGCAAACAATTCTGGACTATGAAAAACGCCTAAGGGAACCCAAAGATTTTGAAGTGAATACCCTGGTTACCATGCGATCCTATTTGGATGAATCTTTGCGTCACTTGCAATCCCTGTATGAGTTACACGAAAAGGTGTTTCTTGATTGGCGTCAACATCCTGCCCACATAACCAGTGCTTTCCTTTTATCCAGTCTTATGAACTGTTACCAAACGGAGAGTAGTGTGGCCAAGGGAAACCTATTTATGTCCCTGTTATTGTCTAGTATCAAAGTATTTTGCGATATCATTGACACTTGGTGGACAGATGGGCGCCTAGATGATTGGCAACAGGAATATATTGTGGAAAGGTAGGTGTGAATGAAACAAAATGGAAATATGGTATTGTGATTTGTATTCCATCAGGATTAGCAATAGCGACCAATCGGTGTGCATGCGAGAGTATCGCAAAAACAAAAGCAAAGCCTTCTTTGTCCCCACCCATGTTAGCAAGGTAATTGAAAATAACAGTTTATTCCAATTGATGCGTGAACATTCGCTGGAAGCGGGTAGAACACTAAATTTGTTATATGAAATAAATCGAATTGGGGATTTGCGTAAAAACTGCGACGCCATGGGTGGAAAGCTGTATAATGTCTTCATAGAAGATTTTCTAAAACAAGTTGGGATTTTGCAAAATGAAGTGGCACAGGCATCCGGTGAAATGGATGTTGCAAATGACACAGAACCCAATGATAGTGGATTTTATAATGAAGCGCCCAACAATTCCACAAATAATGGGGAAAAGAAAACACAGTCTCTGCTTGATTGCTTAACAACAACCGATAGTTATTTGATTATGGCATTTGCTTTAAATATCCGTGAAGAACACCTTGTTGAAGAAGAGGAAGATGAAGCCAACCCATGCAATGTAAAGAAGGAAGAGAAGGAGATTAATGCTTCCTCTATTTATGAGTCACTAAAGAAGAAGGCTAATAAAAATATTTTACCTCTGGAGGAGTTACTGATATCAACATTGAGTCACATATTCAAAATGCGTATTGCCTTTGCAAATAGTTTTGTTTTGAAATTGTATAGAGAAGAGTTTATGATTTTAAAACATTTAAGGAATATACGTAAAGTTATGCTATTGGAAGCCAGTGATGCCATGCACATCTTCTACAGTAAATTGTTTAGTCAGGTAAATGGAAATTTGAAATTCCGCCATTCCACATGATTTATAGTATTTATATATGCGTCGTAGATTGAATCTGGTGAATCTTGGGCAAATCGTTCCCTGCTCACCATGCAATTGGATGATATCATTTGTTCCAAATATCCCGATATGTCTCTGCTATTCTGTTTGGAGGTAAATTCTGCATTTCGTTGTCAAACCACCAAAGTTATTGAGGCCGTGGAGGAGTTAATTGTCACCTACAACTTTACAAGGGAACTGTCGCACATCATATCGCCAGAGGACATTAAGGCCTATAATAAAGTGTTCTGTTTCCTGCTAAAAGTCAAATGGGGTATAACAACATTGGAAAAACTGCAATTTGCACGTTCCCACAAGAGGAGAATTCCCTATGCACGATTTGAAATGATAGACCTAATAATGAGACGTTTGGAACAGTTACGTTTTTGGATGATCTATGCCATACAAAGTGTACATTTCCATTTAATGACTCACGTTCTACAGTCAATGGGCGAACAACTGGATGAGAAAATTGAAAAATGTGAAAATTTCCAAGAAATGGAAATGGTCCATAAATCGTATTTGAGTACAGTGTGTGAACATTGTTTCCTAACGGATAATGTCAATACCATTAAAGTGGGTGTGGAACAAGTAAGTGGTTGGAATTATCATAACAAAATTGAAATCATTACAAACTATTTTAAATGGTTTATCTTGTTTACTTTAGCTGTTAAGTCTTGTATCCATATTAAGGGCCGAATGGTTGGCTTGTGTGAAATTTATTGAAAGCAATAATCCTTTGGCCATATCATTGGACGACAGCGCCAGTGAAGATACTGACACCGATTTTGTTAGTAATTCACAAATCGATGCCATGGAATATACCTACATCTGTTGCCATCAGTACTTGGCCAATATATTGAATGATCAGGTGTATTTAAAGAAAAATACATTTTGTAAGTAGAACAATAGAAATTATCAAGAAGTGTTGGTTTAACATCTACTTTTGTTTACTTTCAGTGTCTGGCTTAAGAGCTGCATTCAATACCAGTCTACCGCACTAACATTTGTTATAAATTATTTATTTTTTTTTTTCTTTTTGTATTATTAATTTTTATACCGTATTTATAAAAGTATTTTTTGTCAAACAAATTAATTAATAAAGCGCCATAAATAAAAAATAAAATATTACTGCGTTTATTTTTTTGCGAAATTTGTATTCTAATTCTAAAAGAATCTCAGATGTCTGCTCAAAATGAACATAATGGCTTACAATGATGAAACGTTTAGTATGATTTAAAGTGAGCAATGAATGGTCTACAAATTTAACAAAATAAACTTTTTTTGCAACTGTAAAAAACATCTACGAAAAAACGCTAAAAATCCACGCTTAATGTTGTGATGATCGTTAAAGTTGGAAAAATATTTTTTAAAAATCCACGCTTGGAAAAATATTTTTCAAAAAATCCACGCTTGAATTTTTTTTTAAACCCAAGCTTGGAAAATTATTTTTAAAAAAATTACGTTTGGTAAAATATTTTTAAAAAATTCACGCTTGGAAAAATTGTTTTAAAAAATTCACGCTTAAAGTTGGATTTTTTAAAGTGTTTTTTGGAACCGATCTTAGCCTTGTAGTTAGGTTCCCTGTCATGAATAAAATTGGATTGAAACGAAAAATCCACGCTTAATTCTGACCACGATTAGAAAAATATTAAAAAAATCCACGCTTAATTTTAACCACGAATAGAAAAATACTAAAAAAAATCCACGCTTGGAAAAATATTAAAAAAAAACACGCTTAGAAAAATATTAAAAAAACACGCTTAGAAAAATATTTAAAAAAATCCACGCTTGGAAAATATTTATAAAAAATCCACGCTTGGAAAAATATTTTTAAAAAATCCTCGCTTATTGGCCTGTATTTTTAAAAAATCCACGCTTGGAAAAATATTTTTAAAAAATCCACGCTTAGAAAAATATTTTTAAAAAATCCACGCTTAAAAATTTGTTTTTTAAATCCACGTTTGGAAAAATATTTTTTTAAAAAACACCCTTGGAAAAATATATAAAAAAAATCCACGATTTGAAAAATATTTTTAAAGAAATACACGCTTAAAGTTTAAAAAAATATTTTTAATAAATCCTAGCTTAAATTTGTGATATTCCTTTTGAAAAACTCCTCACTTAGAAAATGTATTTAAAAAGAATCCACGCGTAATGTTGTGATATTCACTGAAAAGCTTATTCTTTAAAACATTTTTTTAATCCACGCTTAAATATTTTAAATTTCTTTAAAAAAAATATTTTTAAAAAATCCACCCTTAAAGTTTTGATATTCTTTTAAAAATACTTATAAAAAATGTCGCTTAGGACTTTAATATTTTTGAAAAAAAAGTATTTTTTAAATATTAGTTTTATTTTTAAAAATTTCATGCTTAAGACTGTGAAGACCGCTGAAAATATTTGTAATAATTTTGAAATTTGACTAATTTACGCTTGAGGGTATTTTGGTTCATACAGGGTTAATAAAAAGTTGCCCATAGCAACCATTGCTAATTTGCCCTTTAGGGTATCAGCTGTCGCTTTAATGATGAATAGCATAAGGGGTGAGTAATTTTTATATAATTTTTTAATTATTTAAGCAAATTTAATATATATTTTGTCGTATTGCAGAGGTCCCATATAAACCCAGTTTAATATTACAAATATTAATGTTTTGTAATGTATATTTGTCGATATCATGGAATATAGTTTATGGTGTTTATATTCTATACAAGGTAAGCCCTTTCTCAATTCAATTCAATTGGTTGAATAGACAAAAATGTTCTAAGTGATAGTTCTTTCCTTTCCAGCTTCCCGAACTTTATGATTTACATGGAGTGTGTGTCATAATTGCCTATTTAATTGGTTCATTGGCTGAATTATATCGTTTGCGTATGGGTTATAAAGGAAATTTACAATCAAGGGTATGGTTCTGTGTTTTTCCTCAAATAAAATAACAATAACAACACTTTATTTACAGCCCGGTGACTTGTGCACCTTTCTAATACTCTCCCCCTTGGTGGAATTACCCATTATTGTTTTCTTATTACTTTCGGCCAAAGAATTTACCACTTTACTATTGGTAATTGCCGTGGCCACATTGAGTATTATGTCTTTGGAATTTCTAATTGGTGTTATCATTCTATGGCCAAAATCTGAACGAACAGTTTTAGTTAAAAAATAAATGTTTTCAAATTTTCTAAAATTCATGTTTATTTTTTTTTTTTATTTAATTTCTACTTAAATCTAGAACAAAACATAAATAATGCACAAAAGAAATATTAATATAACTGGCCACAAAACACGTTGCGATTCTTTGAATGAAAATACTGGCACACTACACTTTACTTTTATCATCCAAATTGTGTTTCTTTAACAACTCATCAATGCGATTGAGATGACCGCGCATTGTTGGCAAATATGTGGATAAGACTTTAATGTTTTCATCATGATCGGGGCCTTGACCGATTAACTGGCTTCTGGTTGGTACCCAACTGTAAATAATCTATAAAAAATAAAACAAAACAAAATTTATCACAAAAACATTTTCTCACAAAAAATAGATAATTTTCATTTGTGCTTTGCATTTCATTTGTTTATGTTTACTTAAGAGGCTGTTCATTCATTTATTTTTGTTTTGTTCTCGAATACCTACTTTTATGGTACTTTGTACGATGAAACCATGATAAGGTTTTAGTGTTTTCTCATAGGCATCTTGTAGGTGTTTCTTGACGACATCGCTCTGCTGCACATCATTGTAAATGTTTTCGAAAAATGTGCATATCAACTGGAGGCCGCGTTTCAGCCACAGCAAAGCATTGGCAGCGGTATTGTCGACACCAATATTGAGTATTATTAAATCATCTAGATATTTGAATTTTTGGCAGTCTTTTTCATAGGTTTTGCGAATTTTCTATAGAATGGACAGAGAAATTGAGAAATATTGGTTGTAATTTAAAAAATGTACATAAGTTTGTTGATGTGGAGAGGAAAGTACTTACGGTAATGTTACCGGTCATATCACTAATAACTGGACTAAAAAGGGAACCAAATGAACCTGTTAAATAAAAAATAAAAAACAATTTTAATGTATGGTTAAAGGGCTATTTTTTATAGATATTTCATTGATTAAGAAATATTACTAAAAAGTCCACGATTAATGTGTTCCTTGAAAAATATTTTTAAAAATCCAAGCTTAATTTGTACCTTGGAAAAATGGTTTTAAAAACTCCATAGCTGTGGTGTACCTTGAAAAAAAAAACACACGCTTAAGGCTATGGTGTACCTTGAAAAAAAAAACACCATATTTAAAAAATCCACGCTTAAGGCTGTGGTGTACCTTGAAAAAATATTTAAAAAATCCGCGCTAAAGGTTGTGGTGTACCTTGAAAAAATATTTTTGAAAAATCCAAGCTTAAGGCTGTGGAGTACATTGAAAAAATATTTTTGAAAAATCCACGCTTAAGATTGTGGTGTACCTTGAAAAAATAATTTAAAAAATCCACGCTTATGACTGTGGAGTACTTTGAAAAAATATTTAAAAAAATCCTCGCTTAAGGCTGTGGTGTACCTCGAAAAAAATATTTGAAAAAATCCACCCTAAAGGCTGTGGTGTACCTTGTAAAACTAATTTTTAAAAAATCCACGCTTCAGGCTGTCGTGTACCTTGAAAAAATATTTAAAAAAATCCACGCTTAAGGCTGTGTTGTACCTTGATTTTTTTTAATTGACGTTTAAGACATTCATGGTGAATGGTAGCCATGGCGATTAAAAAATACAAACAATTACGACTAAGGCTGTGTGCGATGGTTAAACATATTTTTAAAAAATCCGCGTTTTATTCGAAACATTCATTTTGATGGGTGAAAATCACCAAACCAATGCAGTTGCCGACTATAAATACGATGACCGGTTCTAAATTAACTGCGTGATATAAGACATATGGTTAGAATTTCTTGGGTTCCAGGTCATAGTGATATAATAGGGAATGAAAAATCGGATGAGCCTGCTTGAGGTGGATCTCAATTGATGCTACTGTTACATTGGCAGAATTTCTATGAGAATCCTAGAAGCAGAACCTTAAAATTAATTGGACCTGTGACGCAAATCTAAACAATTGATTTCTCTAGTGAAGAATGATATGACAATTACTGTTTGGATCAGAGAGATCAGGATTCAATTCCCAGTTTATAACCGATTTTTGGTAGATACGTGATTGACTTCTGACATTTTTCTCCGATACAGATTCCATTAAAATTTACATCTTTGTCAAATTGCTATATGTTCTCTTTCCTACTTAGTTTATCCTTTTTATTAGCATTTCAGAATTTGTTGTTTTTATTTGTGTTCTTTTTAAATGTCCAAGGCGTCAAATGTGTTCAATCGCAAATAATCTAAATTTCCGAAAATACTTGATAATGCCACGAAATATAATACACATTTTTGTTAATATATTTTAACGATCAATGACTCACAAACGTTAACCTGATTTATCAAGGCTGATAGGGAATTTTTTTTCGGCAATTGTTATTTATTTTTTAAAATTTGATAGGTTAGCTTAGTCATTGTTATTGATATAAATAAGTATCTAAAATCATTGTGTAAATATAAACATAATGGGTTTGGTTCATCGCGGTGTATTTGTTTTCTATATTAATAATGAAGTATTTTCCAGATAAAGGCATGTGGGTAATTACGTTTTGTCATAAAGATAATAACAACGATTTAATATTTAGAATATAAATGTTAAAATGTTAATAAATAAAAAATTCGTTTATTCGAAAAAATTATAGCTAAAGAACACTGTGGTACAGGGTATTATGTCTTTGTGCATATGTTTGTAACAGGCAAAATGAATCGAAATAGACCCATGGTTCCTTTTGAAAATATGTATAGCATCACTGTCTGAGTCGATTTATGCATGCCCTCCTACCGTCCATATATTGAACAAAGTACAGTTCGCATTTATAATCCGATTTGAATGAAATTTGGCACATGTCACTAATTTGGCCCAAGGACGAACCCTATTGAAATTGGGAAAATCGGTTCAGATTTAGATATAGCTCTCATATATAGTTTCGTCCGATTTTATGTAAATGATTCACCAAACTCCCAATATTGGTCCGATTGAGACAAAATATTGCACAGAGTACTGAATTACATCTAGTTTGATGTATGCCAAGTTTTGTTGAAATCGGTTCAGATTTAGATATAGCTCCCATATATAGTTTCGTCCGATTTTATGTAAATGGAGCATTGACATTCAAGTTTTCATAAATTTCAGATTGGTATGTGTATGGGTTGTTTTAATTTAGTTCAAATATTTATGTACGCAGTTTATTTCGTCCGATTCCATTTCAATGATCCTCCAAAGATTCTATGTTTATTCTATCAAAAGGATATTGTACATATAGTCGGCCCTTCCAACTTTTGAGCTTACCTTATTGGTTTTTATTCTTTGGGAATGCGAAATACCAAATCCGTATTAAACCTTTGACATACCGAAACTGAACGGACATATGGCAGGCAATGTAAAAAATGCCCTTACAAATTTACATTTTCTGCAAGACGCTTTTTAGCTATCAAGAATATGAAATGGCAAATTAAATGGTAAATATGAATATGATCTTTAACGAACCTTAAACGGTATCGGTTGTAATTCTCGCCCCAGTACACAAATACGAGTCTACATATTCGGTGTGTGGTGTTATCGTGCAAGTGTCAAAAATATCTAAGCCATTTATGAGTCCATAGCAAACAATCCAATTCCCAAAAAATTAGAATAAGTGCAGTCCACTACATTAGCATAAGGTTCTTGGTTGTACGATACAATGGACTCAAGAATTAAAACCAATAGATAATTTAAAATGTCAACAGTTACAGCCGATACATCATTTAAAGTGACATCAGTTTTCAAATTCTAGTTCATCTCAATGTTGAAATGTAGTTTTCAGGGGAAACTAATGTATAAAGGTAATCTATTTGGGGATTCCATTCATAAACAAGATTATATTTTGTTTTTTTATTTCCTTATGTGTACAGCTGGGACATTTTTATCTACGATTATTTACAGTTAAAGAAATGTAGTTTTTGTCCAACAAAACGTAAACAATTTAGCCACTTCACCACTATTCTAATGTGAAACTGAAAAAAATCCGACACCTTCCATTTGTTAACTGGGTTAATTTCTGGATATTACGTTGATCACAAATAAAACAAATTAAAATATCCATATAAACAAACATGTGATCAAACAAACTCATGCGTTGGTTTTACAATTTGTTATTAATTAATTTAACAAACAATGAAATAAATAACACATTAAAATCAAAAGGAAGGAATTAGAGTTTAGATTATTCAAAACAGAGATTAAGCAGAAATATTTTGAGCGTTTTTTTTTTTTTTTTATTAATCATTCGATTTGGTTTATAAAGAAATAATTACTAAATAAAATACTTACGTATAACATCGACAATTTCATTTGATGAGACCAAAAACATTTCCGTTTCAAGTTTATCATCAATTACGGGAGGGAAACCTTTAAGTTGTTTAAATTTTATACGTGCTGTTTGTTGTTCCATTGTTGTGTTAGTTTATTTTATTTTTCAATATTAACTGTATATTCCAAATATGTTAATAATATTAATTTGCTGACTAGAGATGGATGTTGATGATGACGGTGACGACGTCAACAATATAAATGGTGTGTAGAAAGCGTGTGTTGTATTGTAAGAAACTAAGTACTGACTGGCCGACTGACTTTGTGTGAGCTATTATTACTCAACTCGCTAGGCAAGCGGTCTATTTTTTGTTATTTCTTCCAACGAAATAGACAGAAATACAAAATCAATAATACCTTTCAATCTGCTTGGAGTATATTATCTTATCAATGTGTTTGATGACGATGTTGTTCTTGTTGTTGGTATGGCATTGATAATGGAAAGAATTCAGCGGTTTGTAGAATTTAGCCAAAAAGGGTTTGTTGTTTTTTTTTCAATATTTTTTTGCTCTGTGTTGTTGTCGATGTTTTGCGTTAAAATACAATCAGCAAAATCATCGTGCATATGTTAATAACTGGCTGGCAATGAATGGATGGTTCGGTCGGAACGGGACGGGAGAGTCCGTCGCAACGATCAATGTATACACGACGACGTCGTATACTATTTGCCTTTTTTGTTGGGTTTATTATCTATGAATGATGCACATTTTATTTTCATTTCAGTTGTTTTTTTTTTCATTTTTCTGTTTTGAGACGGAAGAGTTTTGGTGAGATGTGTGAGCATAGCGAGTGTGTTTGTGGCGAATGACTCTTTTTTGGCTTCTCTGAAGTGTTGCTAGCAATGTATGACCGTGTGTTGTGTTCCATTTTATTATTTTAGATTGGAAGACTCTCAGCAGCATAGCTAAAGTGGGACACATTTCTCAAATCCATATCTTTTTACAATGCCCTTTAATGCTCATGACGAAGAGGTGACATTCGTTTTCAAGTTGTTTTCGATATCTACTTAAATCGTATTGCATGACCCCCGATGATTCCACTCCACATTTTTGTAAATCAAACCAATGTTTTATTAAACTGTTTGAATTTGTACGTATTTCGATTAGTTTAAGAGCATAGTTCGATGATTTTACCACAAAATCTTCTTTAGAAAAATCCAGCATAAAATCATGTTGATCATGTTGATCCTCACATCTCAACCAGGGATGATGTGATAAAATTATTGCCGAATTTGCTGAAAAATAAAATAAATCATTTTCTTTTTGTTCCCTATAGGAATTCAGAAATCCTTGGGCTGGTGTTTTCTTGATTTGTGTAAAACGCTGTTGCTTTGGCATTTGAGTCTCAGGGGTTTGCATTACTATTCTACGTGGCAAATGTTCAGTCGTTTCGTGTACCACAAATACATGATTGATATAATCAAAATTTGAACCCATAACACCTTCTAGATCATGTCCCAAATCGAAGATGTGACCAATTTCATGGCATACAGCACCCAAACTGGAAGCATAGACTCCACCGTACGTTTTACGGTAATTACTATCATCCGGCTCCTGGCTTAAATCTATTTTCTTTTTGTCATTGAAACATGACAAAATACTATCGAATTTTTGGGGCCATGCATAGAAATAGGAAGAGCTAAATAAGGCCAAACCACCGGCACCACAAGCTACATGACCCAACATATGTTTGCGTATATTTTCATAGGAAAAATCTTTCGATTTTTGTACTTCATCTCCAAGATATTTACTGCAGGCAATGAAGGCCACAAATTTAATTGTCGATTCCCGACCCCAGTCGGTCTGTAATATTTCTTTGGCCAGGCTGGACCACAAATCATGTTCCTTTAATGTCCATATTTCCTTCTTGCTGAGGCAGGATTTAAACATACGGCACCGATTTTTGAAATTAAAACACAATCTCCCCTTCGAAAGTTCATTTAGCTTTTCCGCATAGACCAATTGTACCAAAAACAAATTCATATCTATAATTTCTTGATATTTTGTCACCTTGTGTTCATCCTCTTCCTCGTCCTCATCTTGGGCGATAATTATTAATGGCTGTATACCATAAACCGATTGTTTTTGTTTATAATTAATGGATAGTTCTAATTTGGCACTACAATATTCCAATCGTATTTTGTGGATGCATTGTTCCACCTCTCCCAAATCCAATAAATATTTAAATTTCCGTGAATCATAATTAGCTGATAGTTGTTGTTGCTTTTGTTGTTTATCATCTAGGAACAATGCAATTTGTTCATCAGCATAGCACTTGCGTCCTTCCACAGCACCTTTTATCAATAGGAAACGATGCGGAATTGTCTCGTTGTCTTGCAAATTTAATAATTTTATGGTATGTAAACAATTAGTTGTATTTTGCAAAGACATATCTGTTGTTGTTGTTGAAATTGAAGCATTCGTATTAGGGATAAGTAAATCGACTTTCGACTTGTCGACTTTTTGTATTGAAGTGTCTAGAAGTCGAATTCAACTTTTGATCTTTAAAGAAATCGCAAAGTCCACTTTCATCATATATAATTGGTGTTCCCAAAATCCAGTAGGGAATGCCATGAAATATTTGTTTCATCCATAACAAATGGTCTGTTCCCGTACTGCAAGAATCTACTACTTTTTACTACGATAACGTATTTTCCTTTATGATATCGAAGAAAATAGTAAAATCGAGTAGATACTTCCAGACGGACGCGTTCAAAATATCATTTTTAATTAAATTTGAATATATGTACATATTTCAATATTATAGTATTAAAAACAATACACACATATACAAAATATGTATTTTGATTTAATGGAACAAGACACCTTGATAAAAAATTTTAATCAGTTGGTAGCTGTGCCCTACCTTGTAACAACATGGATTGTCAAATTCACAAACGAAATACCAAAAAGTTGGTGGCAACTTTATAAGGGGACTATGTCAAGACATGATCCTATACTGATTATTTTCTGCGTAGGCGTATAACAGTTTCCGAAAGACAAAATGGCGAATTAGAGCCTTTTAGTTTAGAAAATGTAGCAAGAAGTCCTAAAAACGAAAGACCCACGTCTTTTATTTTTTTTTTTTTGCCCTTTAAATACTGGAGGCAGGTCCTCCTCCAGCTAGTCCACTTTCTATTAAAATATAAGTTATAGGACCATACACCACATGTAACGAGATCTTCTTATATTTTGCCTTTAGTTCGATAGATAAAACATGGGTAAGTTACGCGAAAGCTTAACACAGCGCCATTTTGTGATTTTTTAAGCTCGTAGGCGTGATTAACTTTTTAAATGCGTCTTTCTTGTGAGCTGACCGAAGACGAACTGAGAGTCTTTTATTTGGGGACCATGATACAAATTGATAATTTTCTGCATAGATATATCTCAGCCTCCAACAACTTGGTATGCCAAATTACGGCCCTTTCGGGTTGGGTAATGCACCTCAAACCTTAAAATATCGAGTGATTTGCAATATCAAACATCATGTCAGAGCAAAATTTCAAAGTTGGCTTAATCGACATAGCTTGTTTCTGATTTTATTCTATAGTTTATTAGGTCATATTCAAAGATGATAATTTCAGTTTTTAAACAATATTTTACTAAAAATACAACAATTTGTAGTTTTCCTCAAAAAATCGTGTAAATATAACAGTTTTTTAAACACATGTGTTTTTGTGTGTTGAACTTAATGAACTAGATGTACGAAAGAACTGGTTTTAGTTCCAATTGTTCCACTCATGGAATTGATACCATTGAACTAATTCGTTGCGGAACAACACAACTCTATCATCGATTTGCCCGAAATCAGTCTATAGAACCCTTTCTCGCTGTCTGACACGTCAATTGTAAAAAAAATACTTGTGGAACTAAAAGTCTAGGAAAAATCAGTTTTTGTCAATAATTTTTATAGAATTTAAGTATTTTCTAATATTATTTCGCATCCGCAATCTCCATATATTGTGAAATTTATATAATTTACCGAGTAGCTCAAAAAATAAACCGAATCCGACATGTCTCAATCAACTGTGCCCTGTTACACCATTATAAATTCGCCCGATTTGGAGGTGCCCAATGAAATGCAGCTGAAACAGGACCTCGAGAAGGGCGATACAAATGTTAAAATTGACACGCTGAAAAAAGTTATTCAACTTCTGTTGAACGGTGAACGTTTATCCGGTCTGATCATGACCATAATTCGTTTTGTTTTGCCCGTACAAAATCATACAATTAAGAAGTTGCTGCTTATCTTTTGGGAAATTGTGCCGAAGACATCGCCGGATGGAAAACTATTACAAGAAATGATTTTAGTCTGCGATGCCTATAGGAAGGTAAGTTGAGAATTTCGAGGGGAAAGAAGTTGTCATCTGTATTTTGAATTTTAGAGGAATTTTCGGGGTGGGGTAGGGATTGAATGTATGCTGGCATGTTTTGTGTGTTAAAACAACACAGTTCTTATCTCGACATATTGTGATGACATATCGTCATCATCAGAAATTTAAACGGTATGGTTTTGTGTATTTGGGACGTTTAATAAAATAACTTTTATTAACTATATCCGTTTGTCTGTTGAGATCTAGACAGAGCTCTAAATATATAGTATAGAGTTGTGAAATTTTGCGTATCTTCTACTAGCACTTTTGGTATTGGAAGTGGGATGTATGGGCCTGTTTTTTTTTTATTACAGACTCCCATATAACGCAATTTTTAATGCTTCATTCGCATTTTCCAACCGAAATCAATCATTTGGTATTGCGGGTATGTTGACAGTCAAAGTGGAATTTTTTCGGTCTGTAATTTACAACTATATTTTAAAAAGTCCCGCTTTCTTTTGGTATGTTGAGTTGAAATTACTGACCTCAATTTTACCGATCTGTAATTCGATACTTCGTTATCTTAAGAATAAAGTTCAACAATGTCGTCCAACAATAGCATTTTAAGTTCCTTTAAATGAATGGGCATGATCAGAATTGTCAATTAGACCCATAGAAAGATAAGGTCAATGCTAATAGCCCAGGGTATATTTTAGATGTCAAAAATAGATTTAGTGAAGTTATTTCATGAAAACGATGTTATCCTCAGAGCGCCATTTTCCTTATTAACCGCATACCTAACTTGCTTCAGAAATAATTCTCAAAAATATAAGCTTTCTTTGAATACCAAAATATTTACTCCTATTCAAAATCAATGTTTTTAAATATAAACCCAAATATTTCAAATATGCTCATCACACAATTTCTGTTCTACCTTTCCCCTTCCAGGATCTTCAACACCCCAATGAATTCCTACGTGGTTCCACATTACGTTTCCTGTGTAAGCTAAAGGAACCCGAACTGTTGGAACCTTTAATGCCATCCATTCGTGCTTGTTTGGAACATCGCCATTCCTATGTTCGCCGCAATGCTGTCCTTGCCATTTTCACCATTTATAAAAACTTCGATTGGTTGGTACCCGATGGACCGGAGCTAATTGCCAATTTCTTAGACACCCAACAGGATATGTCCTGCAAACGTAATGCTTTCCTTATGTTGTTGCATGCTGACCAAGAGAGAGCTCTGAACTATTTGGCTTCCTGCATCGACCAGGTGAACAATTTCGGTGACATTTTGCAATTGGTCATCGTGGAGTTGATTTACAAGGTGTGTCATGCAAATCCCGCCGAAAGAACACGTTTCATTCGTTGCATTTACAATTTGTTGAACTCTTCATCGAATGCGGTGCGTTATGAGGCTGCCGGCACCTTGATAACCCTTTCGTCCGCCCCCACAGCCATTAAGGCGGCGGCTGGTTGTTATATTGAATTGATTGTCAAGGAAAGCGACAACAATGTCAAATTGATTGTTTTGGATCGCTTGATTGCCATGAAAGATAATGAAAATATGGAGAAAGTAATGCAAGACTTGGTTATGGACATACTGCGTGTTTTGGCTGCCCCAGATATTGAAGTGCGTCGCAAAACTTTGGCCTTGGCCATGGATTTGGTATCGTCTCGCAATATCAATGAAATGGTGTTGGTTTTGAAGAAGGAAGTCTCAAAAACACACAATGTCGAACATGAAGACACCGGCAAATATCGCCAGTTGTTGGTGCGTACCTTGCACTCCTGTTCCATTAAATTCCCCGATGTGGCTGCCAGTGTTATTCCCGTATTGGTTGAATTCCTTTCCGATACAAATGAATTGGCCGCTGCTGATGTTTTGATTTTCATTCGTGAGGCTATACAGAAATTCCCTGCCTTGAGAGGACTTATAATTGGGCATTTGATTGAGGCTTTCCCACAAATTAAATCGTCGAAAATTCATCGTGCTGCTGTGTGGATTTTGGGAGAATATGTTGATGATAAGAGCCAAATTTTGGAAGTCATAGATGTTATTACTCAAACCTTGGGTGAAATTCCCATGGTTGAGGCTGAGCAACGTCGTTTGGCTGGCGAACAAACAGAGGAGGAAATGTCAGCTGCCCAACAGGCACCTACACCACAAACAACAAACTCCAAGGTTACTTCGGATGGTACTTATGCCACCCAAAGTGCTTTCAGTTTGGCACCGTAAGTTGGAATGAGGAAAACAAATGAAATTCGCCAATGTTTTAAATCTTTTTTTTTTTGAATTGTTAGAGTTGCCAAAAAGGAAAAACGTCCACCATTGCGTCAATATCTAATGGATGGTGATTTCTTTATTGGAGCCGCCCTTTCGGCCACCCTTACCAAGTTGGTGTTACGTTATGCCGATTTGGAGCAGGATGTGGTAAGTCAAGAACTTGAATTATTTGTACCGAATTTTTGATTAATTGATATTTTGTCTTAGCGTTCCCAAAATCGTTTGACCACACGTGTCATGCTGATTATGAGCTCCATCTTGCATTTGGGCAAATCCGGCTTCCCATCTAAGCCCATCACCAACGATGATACCGACCGTATTTTCATTTGTTTGCGCACCCTTAGCGAACGCACCGAAGAAGCCGTTGAAGTCTTCAAACGTTATTGCCGTGAAGCTTTGGGAAAAATGTTGGATGCCCAAGCCGAAGAAGATCAACGTGTGCTCAAAGAGAAACAAAAAGCCGCTGCTAAGGTACAACCCGATGATCCTGTACTATTCTCACAGCTATCGAATGGTCGTGAAAACCAATTGGGCGAAAATGTATTTGAGTCTAGTTTGAATCAAGCTTTGGCCGGTACAAAATCGACCAATTTGAGCGATATTACATCGCCCAATAATAAATTGAATAAGGTGACACAATTGACTGGTTTCTCAGATCCAGTCTATGCTGAGGCCTACGTTAATGTCAATCAATATGATATTGTTTTGGATGTATTGATTGTTAATCAGACAAGTAAGTTGAATGGAGCGACATGATGTAGTATTTTGTGAATGCCGTATGTTATTTTCTTTCCAGATGACACTTTGCAAAATTGCACCTTGGAATTGGCCACATTGGGTGATTTGAAATTGGTAGAACGTCCACATCCCGTTGTTTTGGCTCCACACGATTTCTGCAATATCAAGGCCAATGTTAAAGTATCTTCAACAGAGAATGGCATTATTTTTGGAAATATTGGTAAGACTTTTGTGTGGTAATAACGAAAGATGATCATTATCGACATTTTCTATACTATATATTTATCAATACTTGAAAATTAGCTTACAAAATATTGGTTTTATTTTTCCAGTTTATGATACATCAATTAACACCAATGTTGTCGTCCTCAATACCATTCACATTGATATTATGGATTATATTATCCCCGCTACATGCACCGACACTGAATTCCGTCAAATGTGGCAAGATTTTGAATGGGAAAATAAGGTAAAATGTCTCTTGACAATTGACTATCTTTATGCTTTACAATTAATATGCAACTTTTTTATTTTTCTAGGTCACAGTTAATACCACATTCACCGATTTACATGAATATCTCAAACATTTGCTTAAGAGCACTAACATGAAGTGTTTGACACCAGAAAAAGCCTTATCCGGACAGTGTGGTTTTATGGCTGCAAATATTTATGCCAAGTAAGTTGAAATGTATATTAGAAATATTTATTATCGGTGGTGAACTTGGTCAATCACGGGAAAGTGAAATTGCACCCGACGTTCAAGAGAATTCTTCAACAATGATGGAATAAATGCTTCAAATACCAGCAACTCCTGTTTATCCCCATTAAGACAACAAACTAGTTTATTAAAAATTAAATTTTAGGGGACATAATCCCAAGTAAATTTTGTGGATGCTTATGCTTATATTAATATTAAAATCATACATACCATATTAAAAGAAAAAAGAATTGTCTCTTTTTATTTATATTTTTTATTTATTTATTGTATTATTATTTTATAATTTAACATAATCTCTCTTACTTCTAGATCAATTTTCGGTGAAAATGCTTTGGCCAATTTAAGTATTGAAAAACCTGTCGATGATCCAGATTCCAAGGTTACCGGCCACATTAGAATACGTGCCAAGAGTCAAGTAAGTAGAATCATTTCATGAACTTTTTTTCTTTTTAAATTTTTTGAATTCAATTTACTTTTGTTTCTCTGCAGGGCATGGCATTGAGTTTGGGCGATAAAATCAGTTCATCTCAAAAATTATGTGTACAAGCCTCATAAAATGTAGAGCGGGTCACAGTTCATTCCAAATTGTCAACCAACAACAGCAAAAATATGATTTATTTTTTTTCTCTGTGCATTAATTATAAGTATTTTACTCTTTTCATGATTTATATATGTTACAACAACAAGAAAATATTAAAATTTATCAGAAAATAAATATATAAAAAATACATAAAGTAATACGACTATAATGGTTTACATATAAAAAAAAATACAAAATATTTACCTAAATACATTAAAACGATAATGTTATTGTAGTTTTTATAAATTGACAAAAAATATTTTCAACGTACAAATCAAAAGTATTTTAAAACCATTAAACAGGATTTTATTTATAAATACAAAACGAAAATGTTATTATTGTCAAGATTTTTACCGTGGGTTGATTTGTGGTCTATAGATGACAAAAAATATTTTCGACATACAAATCGAAAGTATTTTAAAATCATCAACAGTATTTTGAACATTTTTAAACCGTAGATTTTGCTTTATTTATGGTAAATATATATGCTATGGAAAAAAATTTTGTCATTTTTCACACAAAAGTCTTCTAAATATTGACCGATTTTATCAAAACAGGCATGCTTATTCTTGAGCGACATGCACGGGTTTCATTCTTCACATCACTATCTTGCTCCAGCAGCTTCTATAATTTCTGTATTGCGGTCCGATAAGGTGCTTAATTTTGGGGCGATTTTTTGTGTGGGGTATAATCAGTATTTTGAGCATTTTTAAACAGTGGATTTTGCTTTATTAATGTAACCAAAAATTTACTAATAGATTATGAAATCATAATACATATTTATAAGGCGTTATAAATTCAAATTTTATTAATATAATTCTTTTTATAATGCCAATTTATAAGAGTATTGTATTCATTCTATACTATATTTGGCTAGTTATAAATTCAAATTTGTACATCATTAAATTTATATTGTAAATATTTAATCGTTAAATTCATTCATTCAATATTAAATTTCTATATTTTATACAATTCTCTTAGAAACGATACGTTCTGCTCGTTGTACCTCGTTGCCCCTTGTAATGATTCAGGTGATGTCGATAATAGTGTTCTTTTGTTACTCATAAATGCAAAAAGGTAGAACAGTGTAAATATGCCAATGTGTTATCGATATCGGTATGATGAATATCGATGTGATGATGGTCAGCTGATTATCAGTGGTTTGTTTATAAATAACGTTGTTGTTGTTTAGTTAGTAAATAGTTATGCTTTGCAGTGTTTGCTTAATTTTCTTGTGAAATTCTAATAAAAATAAATTAAAATATGTGTTCATCTGGAACTTGTCGGATAAATACTTCATATACAAAGTGTGTAGTGACACCAAGTACAACCAATGCTGACAGATGCTGCTTGATTCAGGTAAATACAACAATTATTTCGTATCATGCCTTTGTGTAAATGTTTGTAATCGGCAAAAAGGGATCAAGATAGACCCATGGTTCCTTTTGAGTATATGGATAGAATCACTTTCAGAGTCGATTTATGCATGTCCCTATGTCCGTTCATGTATTTTTGTGAGCATAGTACAGGTCTCATTTACGATCCGAATTGAATGAAATTTGACACAGGTCACTTATTTGGCCCAAGAACGAACCCTATTGAAAATCGGTTCAGATTTATATAGTTTTGTCCGATTTTAAGTAAATGGTGCACCAAACTCCCAATATTGGTCCGATTGAGACAAAATTTGGCCCAGGGTACTTAATTAGGCCCTGATTGATGTATGCGAAGTTTTATTGTAATCGGATTAGTTTTAGATATAACTGCTAGATATAGTTTCGTCCGATTTTATGTAAGTGGATCATCACACTGCATCATCATTTTGAGAAAATTTGCACAGATTACTTAATTAGGTCCTGATTGATGAATGCGATGTTTTGTTGAAATCGGTCCAGATTTAGATATATTTTCCATATATTGCCAATGTTTGTCCAATTGAGACAAAATTTTGCATAGCGTATTGAAATAACAACAGGTTGACGTCCATGAAGTTTGGTTGAAATCGGCTAACATTTAGATGTAGCACCCATATATAGTTTTGTTTTGTAAATGGAGCACCAAGCTCCCAATATTGGTCCGATTTAGACAACATTTTGCACAGAGTACTTATTTAGGCCCTGATTGATGTATGCGAAGTTTTGTTGAAATCGATTCAGATGTAGATATAGCTCCAATATATAGTTTCGTCCGATTTTATGTAAATTGAGCACCATACTGCCAATGTTTGTCCGATTGAGACAAAATTTTGCATAGCGTATTGAAGTTTCTACATGTTGACATCCGCGATGTTTTGTTGAAATAGGGGAGGTTGTATTTGTTCTATTATATATTAACGAAATTTAGCATCGAATATTGAATTTAGTCTAGATTTTTTTTCGTTAAGTTTAAAATCGGCTCAGATTTAAATATAGCTCACATATTTACTTTAGTCCCATGTTCTTTAAATGGTGTACCGTAGATCCTGTTCTATTTGCACGATACGATATGAGCATCGCTTGAAGTGAAGTGAGTGAGGGTATCATATAGTCGGTCCCGTCTGACTTTTGAACATTCCTTACTGATTTTAATTTAAAATATGAATACGTTTTAGTCACTCACTTTTTTAAATCGTTGTTATTAGTAACTCACAATAGCCATTGTCACACGCACAAGAGTCATCAAATCTAATCTTGTGCAGTGGTCAGCAGCTGTAATAAGTACTTGGATAGGCATTCTTAATTTTTTTTAACACACACATATAAAATTATAAAATCTAATAAAGGCAGAACAAAAATATATTAAAAATCTTGGGAAGTGAGATAAATAATCTCAATTGATATTTCGCGCTAACATTTCCGGTCACAATTTTCGCATCCATATATATGAAGCTTGTTAATTTCCAACTGATGTTGGGCGTTCGTTGAGGTGAAGCATCAGCAATATAAGAAGTTAGGCTTGTCGTTCCGGACCCAGACCACAGCATGCTAGAAAAGAATAGAAAACTAATTAATATTCAAACAATTTATTTTTTACTTTTTAACAGAAATTGGCAATTCAGATTTGGTATGTTCCCGTACTGCAAGAATCTACTACTTTTTACTGCAATAACACATTTTCTTTATGATAACGGAATAAATAGTAAAAATTTTTAGTTTATTGCAGTACAGGAACGGATCAATTGTCTTTTTTAATGTTTATAAGGTCATTCAGCAAGAACAGCTGGATATCAGCTGCCTCTCAAGTTTGCTGTCAAAATCCATTATTTTGAATTGGCTTCCATTACGAAAACATAAACAGCTGACTTCCGCTTGCTGGGTATTTGACCGGTATCATTTTAAATAGAAATTTGTCTGTTTGCATACGTTGCACCAGATTTACCAATGTCCCTATGTCGCAATAGAGATCGGGTTTTTGGTAGGGCGAAAAGCATAATGGCAGAAAATATCAAATATAGGCCCATGTTTTGACGCCACATTTCACCTATTCTATGGCTATACATCTGCATTCGACAGCCCTATCCGTTCAGAGGTGTTTAAAGCCATGAAATGGCGATTCGTTAAGCCTTCGCTAAACTAGCACGATATATTAGATGAAATTCTTCGTATACGGATAACCTATTAAGTCACAGATATCAACTTAGTGAAGCTGAACTCGTTTTTTTTTAAGATTTTCCAGACATTGTCTATGCATGATATATGGTCCTTTACCTCCTATACTAAATAGGAAGTGGATTAGTTGGAGGAAAAGTAAAGACGAAAAAAAACTAAAGTCGGAAAACACCTCTCGGAGCCCTTTAATAACGAACGAGAATTCAGACAAGGTGACAGTTTGTCGTGTGATATTTTTAACATCCTGCTGGAAACAGATGCTACTATGGTCTACGTAAGCAACTCAGAAACAAGACCACCTCTCGCCAGACCACACTCTACAAAGACTATAACAGGCGTGGATTTTTTAAAGAATATTTTTCATGGCCTGGATACTATCTATTCTACAGTGCTGTTGTATGGATCTGAAGCATAGGTACTTGCGCATGCAGATAAGGCAGCACATGGAGTGTTTGAGAGAAAAATTCTCCGGAATATTTATGATCCGATCTGCGTCGACGGTGAATATATTAGTCGAATGCGCCACGAGCTGTACTATCTATTTTCGGGCATCGACATAGTCAGATGTATCGAGCTGCACTGACTCAAAAGGCAGAAGGGGAAAGTCAAGAGTTAGATGGAAAAATCAAGTGGATGACAACATTGGCGACCATGGTCTTTTAAATTGGAAGAACTGCGCAAAAAGTAAAGAAAATTTTGACACGCCACCTATATGAAGATCTCGACCCGTTAATAGTATTTTCATGGTATTATAGTACGTTTATATTTAACCGGGTTTCGTTAACTCAATGTGTTTCAATTGCAAATTCATTTGCATATAAGCCAAATAAATTCTCATAAAGAAAGGGTTAACCCGGTATCCACACAATTTTAAACGTCTATTCCAGGATTACGTCACGTTAATCCTGTTTTTAGTATACGAACATGCCTAATGTTTTCTGATGTTGAGATAGATACGAAAATTCCTAAAAAAACAATTTTTTCTTAATAATTTTGGAATTATTATGAATGAAATTTGTCCCGTGAATAGTGTTGTTGTGAATTTGATTAAAATCGATTTGTAAATTAGTTGTACAGGAAATACTGTCTTCCGATATTGATACAGAAGAAGTCAATCGTAATTGGTGTGAACTTAACATGATGGACATTTGTGCTGGGTGTTTGTGTCTGTCTGTATGTATGTCGATTTCAGCTGATTTTGTGCTATTTTGGCTTCTTTGTTTTTTTATTTGTTTTTAAAACTTAGCATGCAGGTTGTAGGCTTCTATTTCGAATTTAAATATACATATGTGGAATTTGTAAGTGTGTCTAACTGGAACCAAAGAAGAAACCTTTAAAGTGGTCTTCTTGCTGAGGGTGTAATTTAAAACAGCATAATTTTTAAGTAGTTTGCAGTGCTGCTGTTGTTGTTGTGTGTAATCGG